CCAAGAAACAGAAAATGATCCGCTTTGAAATCTGTTCCTTCTATCGCCCTGACAAAACTTTACTAGATTAGGAGAATTTTCTAACCAAGATAGTGGAATTATAGTCGGATTTTTTTCATAAGGATAAACAATATGTGGTGTAGTTGTCAAGTAACCTAAAGAGGGTTAGTTAATCGATAAATTCTATTAAGGAAATCAAGAAGATCATAAATCCTCGCATATTCCTTCTGATGCGACTAGGCAAGCTGAGAAATGGAATTAAAGACTTCGAAAGCAGCAGACCTCTGTATATGAGATACTCAGTAAAGAGCATCTTCAGGAAGGCCCGAGATACCATCTTTATGCTATTTCGCGGCTTTCTATCTCATTGTGTAAGAGCATTGGAAAACTTTAGAAATACTCTTGCAAACCCCAAAAGCAAAATACGAAAGCATGGAATAAGAATGCAATATAAAAATAGGAATCCTAATTTGGCGTATCCCCATAGCATTTCTGCTACACTCATCGCCTATAACAAGTGCTGGCGTATGATCCTCCTCAAAATGCTCACCTCTGCTTCACTTAGGAGTACCTCGTGAGTTCTAACAAACAATACCAATTCTCCGCTACCAACTCGCTTTACGTCATTTTATTATAGGTATGTTGCATGTGAATCGTTCTTTATTTCTGATCAAGTAGAATATCTGAAGAGATCAGCACTTAGCATATTAAGGAGTCAAAAGACGCCCTAATGACAGCGGTTACCATTTCCACTCCCATTTTTCATTAAATTCAGTCGTATTTTGATATCGCAAACTTTTACATCAAGATAGCATATCTGAACGGGAAATGTACTTACGGATCTTGTGATTACATTGTCATGAGAGATATATGCTCAAAGCATAACTCTTAGCATTTTATTTAAAGAAAAGATATTCAGATGCAAGAATTATCGCGTAGAATATTCATAGGATGAAGAACAGTATCAAAATAACAAACCCTATACACATATTAAGTCTACATCATCAAATTTGCATGCCATGAGAGCTATCAAATAAAAATGTGCCACCTATGAATGCAAAATATTTTTAAATGTTGAGTATACCTAATAATCCCAAATTGCTAAATGAAAAAGGAAGTAATCGTGAAGGGATGCAGATTAAGGATATTAATTTAACCCCATATAAGATAAACAGATATCCCCAAGTTGAGAGGTACACAAAAAAGTGTGAAATCAAGTGGTTTCGTTAATATAAATAGCTGTAGTGAAACAAAAGGCTTTCCCTAAATCCATTTTACTATTAAGCAAAGGTTTTCATTTAACTCTATCATACCAAGTAGAATGAAAAATCAGGAGAAAACAATTTAACAAAAATATCAAACAGCTCTTTGTGTTTCAAAAACGTTAATGTGATATGTTGACAGTATTAAGCTAAAACCCACAGAATTTAAATCTGGATCAAGTTATATTTTAGGCTATACAGTTGAAAAGTATTGCGCAACCTAATGAAATGTAAAATGCTATAAATGCGTCTATAATATGCGAATATATATGCACAAGTTTACATGTACACTAACTTACCAGCGACATACTCCATGACAATCATGACAGGGTGTGTGCGAACCGCAATACCAACAAGCCGGACGACGTTCGGATGTGCAAAATGTAGTGCTGTCGTCTCACCTTGAAGGAATTTGCGTCGACCGTCTACCTCGGTCCAGTCAGCCCGGCATAGTTTTACTGCCACAACCTGTCCGTTGTAAACTCCACGGTAGACATCACCGAAGTTGCCCTGTAAATATTGAGGGAAGAGATATGCAAAATATTAGAGAAATATTGACAAAAAACAACATAAGAAAGGGGATAATAAAAGGAAAACAGAAGCAATACTTAATAAGAGAAATAAATAACGTGGAAGTAAAAGAAATAAAAGATAACAAAAGTGAGACTGACTTCGAATGTCTTATACTCACCAGAAGTGCCAAAAAATTTTAATGAGTATATTCAATAATCCTTTATTTACCAAAAATAAAAGGAATTATCAGATACAGGATATAGGTTAAGGATATGTATTTACAAAATGTTCTGACTTAAATAAGAGAGGATCCGAAAATTATTGAAATTCGGTTGAGCATTATTCTCGGGCTTCAAGTTACTTTAGAATCGTGCAATCATCTCGAGTCAGCTTCTCTATCCTAAGCTAAAGAAGTATCAAGTATCAAGAAGTATTTAACTAAAATAGGACTTTGCTGAGCTGATACGCATTCGAAAGATGCTCTCAGATTATATCTAACAAGAGGCAGATGAAAGCTCAGGATTCTAAAAGTGGAAAGTAAGGAAAGTGTCTCAAGAGCTGCATTGACCTGAACGTCCTAGTAAAAGCAAGTGACAGCAGACAAAGTAGAATATGCCAACGTCTTCTGGAGAGATAAAACCAAGAATTATTTTCTTACAATGTAAGGAAATCAAAGT